ATAAAGCGGTTCCTTCTTCAGCGCCACAGCAATCAAGTCATCCGTTTTCTTCGTGAGCGTAGCGCTGAAGAGCATCGTCTGTCTCCTCTGCGGTAAGAGTCGGACAATGGCTTTCATCTCCTCCTCGAAGCCGATGTCTAATATCCTGTCGGCCTCATCGATGATCAGACTCTGGAGGTTCTTAAACAGGAACTGTTTGGTGTTCTGCAAGTGATCCAACAGCCGGCCCGGAGTGGCCACCACTATATTCACACCTCTGGTCAGCTTCAAGGCCTCCGATTGGCGATTAGTGCCGCCCATAATCAGGCCATACGTTTGTTTGTGATATTTCATCAGCTCTTTGAGTACACCGAACGTCTGCATCGATAGCTCCCGAGTGGGCGATATGATGAGAATACCGGTGCCGTTTCGGGGCATAAACCGCAACTTATACATCAACTCTATAGCCGGTATTAAAAAGGCCAGAGTTTTACCGCTTCCAGTCTTGGCGGCGCCCACCAGATCCCTGTCCAACAGATAATCACACATTAGTTTCCATTAGTTTTGTAATATAAATGTCTTAATATTTCTCAAGTCTTGTACACCAATCAGTAGTACATTATAACAGATATAAAGTGCACATCAAATGAGTTAATCCGTACTTTCCCTCCAAGAGGTGAGGAATGGTTTTCGACTGAATTTCAGTCATTTGCGAGAATTCCATGTCTTTGATGGCATTGAGTGTCAAATCAGACACTTTGTCCTTCAGCTCATCAAATCGGGTGACTGTCAGCGATGTAGTAAAGGGAATGCTGTCCGCTGTCACCAGTGGTGGACATTCCTCGCCATTTTCGTCGTCGTCGCCATCAATCTCTTCATTTGATCCGACAGTCGGCTCTTCACTTGATTTAAACTTTTCTATAAAACCGATACAAACGAGACGTTAAGACCAAAACCACAGACACTATGAGATAATTACTGTTATTTGTCTCAACCCTATCGCCAATTGTCCTCTTTCTGTGGTCACCCGTGTCTTCATCGACATCATCGGCCTCGTCATCCAAGTGATCGTCCGTTTGCTTCCGGAGCTCACGATTCTTCACGCGTTGCTTCTCCTTATGCTTCAATCGCTTCTTGAGTTTCCTCATCAGCACCTCTTCGTGTACTTTAGGCATCACTTATGGGATCAGATGTCTTGAGACAAAACCACTCAACAAATCAAAGACAAACCGATTGTAAACACAAACACATGTGTTGTGCGAAAACGTCTCCAAAACACGTGCTTTGAGTGTCACGTGCTATATGTGAGGCCCCCATAGGTATTGGCACTGAATTGCGTGGCATTTAATCTGTCATTCAATTGACGTTTAATTGTGTTATAAATCGCATATAAATCGCCGCAAATGTATGTCTCGCCTACCGTTCCCCTCGCATACCTGTCCACTAACCTGTGCTATCCATGTCTTAGGGCCGCCGCCACCGCCTCAGCTCCGAGTCCTGCCTCGAAGATCACGTTTAAGATTACACTCACATCTGATCCAAAGCTTCCCTACAAAGTGTGAGTCCATTGTTATCTCGTTATCTAATCCCCGATCTATCGGTCACTTAATAACCACCACTTCACTGATCACAGGCTAACGGTTCCCGACAACGCCCCCTTCACTGCTGTACTCAAGTACGCGGCCGAAGAGGTAAGTGTCCACCAATTGAACCATTCATTACCCACTCGCGAGTCGTGTCTCATATCATATCCATTGACAGTTCAAACAAACGCCGGCCACCAGTGCTATCATCACCGACGATGGCGTCGGTATAAACCCCTCGCAGACAGCGGGCGATGTCTTCTTGAAACACGGATCAGAGTTACGGCTCATTCCCAGGGATAGAGTGGG